CACCCGAACCAATTACGCGGACAGGGCCAGACTTGCCAGTGGGGTGAGGCTGGACTGCACAGAATCAGGCAGCGGCGGCTGCCTAATGAGGCAAATTAGGCGGCCGCAAGGCCCTAAGAGCGGTTGTCTAATTAGAGAGCTGCCCGGTGGAGGGGAGGGCCCAGTGAGATGCGGTTCGGCTGGCTTTGTACAGGAAGGTGGAGGAGAAGCAGCGGGGTGGCTCGGGGCTGGCCATAGCATGTGATCTGATGGCGGGATGTCCCAGAAGCAGGCTGGGGACTGCAATGTATTCTTTAGATTGAGGGGGGTGCCCGAGTTTAGTCTTGCCTAGGGCAGCACAAAGCCAAAATACACCACTGGTCACCAGTGTGCAGGAAGAGGGGGGAAATGTTCCAACGGGGACACCTGTCTGAAGCCAGGCCACTCCCCCCGTACAATTCCGTTCAAACAATTTCCAGGAGGTGGAAGTCTCACTAGAATCTTCATATGTGACACGAAGAAGCCGCATGCCACTTCTGCAAAGACAAAACCAACTTCATTGGTTCAGTGTTATCAGGTCCTATCGCTGACGCATTTCGTCCATTGCGAAGCTTCATCGACTCACCTTCCACAGGGAGGCAAAAACGCGTCAGCGAGAGGACCCGGGTGGAGCGTCTGGAACAATAAAGCTGGTTTACGGAAGCGGTGTGTGACTCCGTGATACATGCCTGGGCTTGTTTGGAGGTGAGGGATCCCGGATCAATGGGCGCCAGCACCCGGAGGGTATCAGCAGCGGTCCCGGGAGGGGTAACAACAACAAACATGGTCCGCCTCCTGCCTCCGACTTCAGAAACTAAAAACCGGAACAGCGATCAGTAAATTTACTAACGGGGTCATTCTGTCCGGCAGGTTCTGGTTCCCTCCCCGTCGTGTCCGTCTCTGTCAAAGATGGCGGCGTGGCGGTGTCTTTCCTCGCTTCCGATTGGTTCCCCCGGCCGAAGATGCATTGGGAGCTGGAAGGTGTCGCCGTCGCCGACGCATCAGAGACCGTCTCCAACCAAAGCAACGGACTGTTCACCTTGGAGAGCAGCGTCCTGCTGAGGATCCCCGGCCGCCGGCGTCTATACGGCGCAGCGCGTCACCCCGTGACCGGGAAATTGACTGGACTTCATGTGACTGTCTCAGGTGCGTGCTCCAAACTTCCATCACGTATGATTGGCCCCCCGGGAGCCATTGTTATATCGGTGGCAGAGGGATCATGGGTGCAGCGCCAAGATGGCCGACAGGAGTCGTGTCCTGACACTTAGAGGGCGATTTATAAATCTTTCACCGAGCCGTATCTGAGTGAATGCCATTCACATGCCATTCACACGCCATTCACACGCCATTCACACGCCATTCACACCACTAGACGGAGCCACGGAGTATCGGAAAGTCCTGTGCTCCTCGGTTCCCCCTAGTGGCGGGAATGTCATGTGAACGGCCTTCACCCAACATGGCCAGGAGAACATTTTATAAATCAGCCCCTTAAAGTGAACCCGGCTTTATACAGAGCCCTGACTCCTCTCCATGTTGAGATTAAACCCCGCCCCCTTGAGCGCTAAGTCCCGCCCCTGTCTTTCTATCAGCCACAGAAGCTCCGGCAAACCACTGAGGGTCCGGGGTGGGAGCAGGACTCAGGTCCCTTTTACGTTATCTGTTGTTACATTGCACGGCAATGCACCAGGCACGCGCGACTCATTCACACCGCCCTACAGCAAAGCACCCTCCAACGCGTTGCAGCGCACCACAATGCGTGGTAAGGAACCACCATGAGTCAGAAAAATTCCGCTTCTGAGAAAGAGGCGCCGCACACCACAAGTTGATAGTTGATACAGTTTAATTCCAATGTAAGGTCAGATAAAAGATCAAATTAAAAAACCAACGCGTTTCATCCAGGGGGCGGGTCCTGGGCCAGCGAAACGCGTTAGATCCTTAATATGATCTTCTATCTGACCCGACATTGGAATAAAATCGTATCTGGGTTGTGGCGGGGGGGGGACTAATCGACTTGTGGTGTGGGCCTCCATCCCAGAGCCACAAGATGGCGCTGAGGAGCGTAGGAAATGAAGACATGTTAGAAAGGAGATACAATGTTACAATTCCAGAGGCCACTGGAGGGAAAGAGCGTGCAAATGTGACCATTGATACAGGGGCGTCCCGAGGCCGGGTGTGATGTCATCGCGCATGCGCGACCATCTGATTGACGCCTGCCGGTGGCCATCTTGGTAATGGACGCCGGCAGAGAGAGGAGGGGACGTTCACCCGGCGGGATGAGGTATGCCGCCGGGTCCCCTCCTCCCTCCTGACACTGTCGGGTTCTCGTTCCATGACCGAGTGCCCGGCTTTTTAGAGAGGGGTGACACCAAAATGACGGTCATTTTGGTGTCACCCGGGCCGCACCCCCCATGTGACGTCACTGCATTTGAAGAGCCGCGGTGACATTTCTGGGCTCGTTCCCTCCGCCGGTCTCTGGAATTGTTACATTGTATCTCATCACCGACCTGTTTCCTGCGCTCCTCAGCGCCACCTTGTGGCCACGTCGGGGTACTTCCTCCCGCTCACTCTGTCCTTTATGAATTACATTCGATCAGAGGAGAAAGTACATTCGATTTTGCCCCCGATCTGACGACAGCCGGGTGACTGGCGCACAGCGAGCGTCTGCGCAGCTTCGCCGGGGGAATACATTGTATACGAATAGGCGCATTGTGCGGTTGAAGTCGCGGTGGACTTCTGGTCGGTGGCGGCGCTGTGTGTGCGATCCGCTGCGTGTTTGTATCTCTCTGTATCAGTGATCGGCTGTTTGTCTCTGCAGAGGAAATGTTCCCGCGGCTCTCATCCTGGGTCTACGCCTTCCTGTTTGTTGTTCCCCTATTGCTGGTCGGCGCGGCATTTCTGATATTTGCCATAAAAAGACAGATGACCCAGAAAGGTGAGTAGGAAATGTTGTCAACCAATAACCGTGTCCTGAGGTGGGCCTAGCGTCAGGTATTGGTACACAAATGCCTGACACAGATCAGCCCCTGACTGCAGTCTCTCACGTTGTGACCTGCTGTGTTCACAAATGCCTGACACAGATCAGCCCCTGACTGACCTTGTGGCTGTGCTCACACATGTCTGACACAGATCAGCCCCTGACTGCAGCCTCTCAGCTTGTGTCTGTGTTCACAAATGCCTGACACAGATAAGCCCCCACTCTAGCCTCTCACCTTGTGGCTTTGTTCACACATGTCTGACACAGATCAGCCCCTGACTGCAGCCTCTCAGCTTGTGACTTGCTGTGTTCTCAAATTGCTGACACAGATCAGCCCCTGACTGCAGCCTCTCACCTAGTGTCTGTGTTCACAAATGCCTGACACCGATCAACCTCTGGCTGCAGCCTTTACCCTTGTGATTTGTGGCAAGTAAAAATGTTGCAGACTGATCACGGGGGAGGGGAGACTGAGGAAATGCTTCTTGTGTTTATTTGGTTGCCGTCATTTTATACATTTTCCTTTTTGTGTTTGTCTTGTAGAGGCGCAGCAGAGAAGAAACGGTGAGTCCCTGTAGAGGAATAATGACACATTGTCATATATATCTATATCCGTGTCCGTGTCCTCATCTCATCGTTATCACTTCCTGAACAATCTCAGTGTTGTAATGAGAAAATCTGCAGCCAGAGAGATTCCTGACGTGTGGCTCTGTGCGGACTTCGGGGGCCAGCAGAGGACCAATTCCCCCCCCCGTGGGGCCGCACTGCAAGGAAGGGGAAATGCGCTTTTTGATGACATTAGATAGGAATGCGCCGCCACCATTATTTCCACACTGAGTGCCGATACTTCTCCCCAAGTACTTGCCGATACCAACTACCGATACCTGTTTTATAGTGTCATGTGACTAAGGATTTTAGGAAAGTGGTGGAGCGCCAGGGCCCGGTTGTAGCTGCAACTGCTGCCACCCTGATATTTCTGCGACTGTCTTCAAGCTGTAGAAGGACTACAAATCCCAGCAATGCAGAATAATAGTATACGAACTTGCTACATACTCTGTGCTGCCGCTCTGCTCCTGCATGCCAACCTGATGTTTTGGGTGGAGGGTCTCAGGAGGGGGAGATATGCAGAGGGTCCCAGGAGGGGGAGGAGTGCGGAGGGTCTCAGGAGGGGTGCAGAGGGTCCCAGGAGGGGGAGGAGTGCGGAGGGTCTCAGGAGGGGTGCAGAGGGTCCCAGGAGGGGGAGGAGTGCGGAGGGTCTCAGGAGGGAGAGGGCGGGAGGGGGGGGAGCGGGGGGGGGGGGGAGGGCGGAGGGACTCAGGAGGGGGAGATGTGAGGAGGGACTCAGGAGGGGGAGGAGTGCGGAGGGTCTCAGGAGGGGTGCGGAGGATCTCAGAATTGGTGTGGAGGGTCTCAGGAGAGGTGTGGAGGGTCTCAGCAGAGGTGTGGAGGTCTCAGGAGAGGTGTGGAGGGTCTCAGCAGAGGTGTGGAGGGTCTCAGGAGAGGTGTGGAGGGTCTCAGCAGAGGTGTGGAGGGTCTCAGGAGAGGTGTGGAGGGTCTCAGCAGAGGTGTGGAGGGTCTCAGGAGAGGTGTGGAGGGTCTCAGCAGAGGTGTGGAGGGTCTGGGGGGTGGGGAGATGTGCGGGCCGGCGGAAGCCCTGGAAACAGGCACCGTGTGGTTCCCAAAGAGGCTGTTGTGGGGTCCCAAGCAATCGAGGGCCCTCAGGCAGCTGCTTGAACATTTAAAGCTATCGTATCAGTTTTTGTTATGCGGACATTTGTACGAGCACTCAGGATATTGCCCGGTATCGGCACCAATACAGATCCTGGTATCATTCTCGGTTCATCCCAAATGTTAGAAATGTTCAGTCTGCAGATTGGGATAAAAGTAATTCTAGTATTGATGAGTCAGAAATAATTTGCAGACAATCTCCGAGATATTTGGTTTTTGTTCCATTTCTGGGGAAATTCTAATCTGCTTTTTTTTCTGTCTGTGGTCCTGCAGGTGAATTGTGTTCAGAATTGGGTAAGTAAGACAAGTCGTATGAGTGAGTTCTTGGGGTTCATACACAAAAGGGGGTCTATTTATAAACATTCACTATGACCAGCTCTGTGAACTTTCATTGTATGTGAATTGAGGCAAAAACGTTCTTGGCGTATTTTCTTTTCAAGTTGAATGTAATGTAATACCACATTGTGGCCTCTAGATGGCGCTGTGGAGCATGGGAAATACATATTTATTCCCTCTGCTCCTCGCCTCCATCTAGTGGCCACAATGTGGTATTAGATTATATTAAACTTGAAAAGAAAATATGCCAAGAACGTTTTTGCCTCTATTCACACACAATGAACATTCACAGAGCTGTTTATAAATAGACCATGTGAATGTTTTTGCACGCAGCCCTCCCTAGGTAATGCCTGCCTGTGATGCTGAGCCTCCATTATTAAAAGAGTTAAATTGCAATGATTGAAAGGGGAGGGGCCAGGGACAGTCAGGCTCAGCGCTGGGGAAGAAAAGGCTAGATGATGCTGGATGTCCTCCAACCAGGAAATGAGGCGGGCTCTATCTGACTCCCTGCAGCTTCTAATGCACATTGTGAGAAGCTCGCAGTGTGCAGTGAAATCAGAGGAAGCCTTTTCAGTCCAGGGGAGGAGCCGGTACAACTGTGCAAGACTGAAGGCACATAAGCAGCTGCATAAAAGTTTATGTAAGAAGGTAAGCGGAGGGTATGTGGAGCTGGGTCAGCACAGACAGCAATTAAACACTCCCAGAAGAGGAGGGGGCGATGACATGCAATGGCCTGCAAGGATGGCAGGGACTAGGTTAGGGAGATGACCCGTCCTGGACCAGTCAAACTTTCTGGCTAGACACATTGCACATGTTAATGGCAAGGGAACACACTGCAAGTTTTTCAGATTGGTGACAGGGTCTCTTTAATGATTGAATGACACTTCCTGTGTGTTGTCTGATTTTAGATTGGAGGAAAGCGGTGATGACCCCAGGTAAGCTCCTCCCCCAAGTCCAGTCCCCCTCATCTTATACCATCTCCTCATCTTCCCTCCCCTGGGTCCTCTCTTCTTCTACCTCCAATACCTCTGTTCCTGTCTCCTCATCTTCCCTCCTCCGGGTCCTCCCCTCTGCTATCCCCAATACCTCTGTTCCTGTCTCCTCATCTTCCCTCCTCCGGGTCCTCTCCTCTTCTACCTCCAATACCTCTCTTCCTGTCTCCTCATCTTCCCTCCCCCGGGTCCTCTCCTCTTCTACCTCCAATACCTCTCTTCCTGTCTCCTCATCTTCCCTCCCCCGGGTCCTCTCCTCTTCTACCTCCAATACCTCTCTTCCTGTCTCCTCATCTTCCCTCCCCCGGGTCCTCTCCTCTTCTACCTCCAATACCTCTCTTCCTGTCTCCTCATCTTCCCTCCCCCGGGTCCTCTCCTCTTCTACCTCCAATACCTCTCTTCCTGTCTCCTCATCTTCCCTCCCCCGGGTCCTCTCCTCTTCTACCTCCAATACCTCTCTTCCTGTCTCCTCATCTTCCCTCCCCCGGGTCCTCTCCTCTTCTACCTCCAATACCTCTCTTCCTGTCTCCTCATCTTCCCTCCCCCGGGTCCTCTCCTCTTCTACCTCCAATACCTCTCTTCCTGTCTCCTCATCTTCCCTCCCCCGGGTCCTCTCCTCTTCTACCTCCAATACCTCTCTTCCTGTCTCCTCATCTTCCCTCCCCCGGGTCCTCTCCTCTTCTACCTCCAATACCTCTCTTCCTGTCTCCTCATCTTCCCTCCCCCGGGTCCTCTCCTCTTCTACCTCCAATACCTCTCTTCCTGTCTCCTCATCTTCCCTCCCCCGGGTCCTCTCCTCTTCTACCTCCAATACCTCTCTTCCTGTCTCCTCATCTTCCCTCCCCCGGGTCCTCTCCTCTTCTACCTCCAATACCTCTCTTCCTGTCTCCTCATCTTCCCTCCCCCGGGTCCTCTCCTCTTCTACCTCCAATACCTCTCTTCCTGTCTCCTCATCTTCCCTCCCCCGGGTCCTCTCCTCTTCTACCTCCAATACCTCTCTTCCTGTCTCCTCATCTTCCCTCCCCCGGGTCCTCTCCTCTTCTACCTCCAATACCTCTCTTCCTGTCTCCTCATCTTCCCTCCCCCGGGTCCTCTCCTCTTCTACCTCCAATACCTCTCTTCCTGTCTCCTCATCTTCCCTCCCCCGGGTCCTCTCCTCTTCTACCTCCAATACCTCTCTTCCTGTCTCCTCATCTTCCCTCCCCCGGGTCCTCTCCTCTTCTACCTCCAATACCTCTCTTCCTGTCTCCTCATCTTCCCTCCCCCGGGTCCTCTCCTCTTCTACCTCCAATACCTCTCTTCCTGTCTCCTCATCTTCCCTCCCCCGGGTCCTCTCCTCTTCTACCTCCAATACCTCTGTTCCTGTCTCCTCATCTTCCCTCCTCCCGGTCCTCTCCTCTTCTACCTCCATTACCTCTGTTCCAGCCTCCTCATCTTCCCTCCTCCGGGTCCTCTCCTCTTCTACCTCCAATACCTCTGTTCCTGTCTCCTCATCTTCCCTCCTCTGGGTCCTCTCCTCTTCTACCTCCAATACCTCTGTTCCTGTCTCCTCATCTTCCCTCCTCCGGGTCCTCTCCTCTTCTACCTCCAATAACTCTCTTCCTGTCTCCTCATCTTCCCTCCTCCGGGTCCTCTCCTCTTCTACCTCCAATAACTCTCTTCCTGTCTCCTCATCTTCCCTCCTCCGGGTCCTCTCCTCTTCTACCTCCAATAACTCTCTTCCTGTCTCCTCATCTTCCCTCCTCCGGGTCCTCTCCTCTTCTACCTCCAATAACTCTCTTCCTGTCTCCTCATCTTCCCTCCTCCGGGTCCTCTCCTCTTCTACCTCCAATAACTCTCTTCCTGTCTCCTCATCTTCCCTCCTCCGGGTCCTCTCCTCTTCTACCTCCAATAACTCTCTTCCTGTCTCCTCATCTTCCCTCCCCCGGGTCCTCTCCTCTTCTACCTCCAATAACTCTCTTCCTGTCTCCTCATCTTCCCTCCTCCGGGTCCTCTCCTCTTCTACCGCCAATACCTCTGTTCCTGTTCCCTCATCTTCCCTCCTCCGGGTCCTCTCCTCTTCTACCTCCAATACCTCTGTTCCTTTCTCCTCATCTGCCCTCCTCCGGGCCCTCTCCTCTTCTATCCCCAATACCTCTGTTCCTGTCTCCTCATCTTCCCTTCCCCCGGGTCCTCTCCTCTTCTACCTCCAATAACTCTCTTCCTGTCTCCTCATCTTCCTTCCTCCGGGTCCTCTCCACTTCTACCTCCAATACCTCTGTTCCTGTCTCCTCATCTTCCCTCCCCCGGGTCCTGTCCTCTTCTACCGCCAATACCTCTGTTCCTGTTCCCTCATCTTCCCTCCTCCGGGCCCTCTCCTTTTCTATCTCCAATATATTTTGCCTTTGCCCCTGCAGAGTACATCACATTCTCCCCTGAGACCGCCCACCCGGAGCTGTCCGTCACTGAGGACTCCCTAACCCTGGTGAACCAGCCTCCTCCTGACATGCCTATGCCGAGTAACGTCCGTTTCGAGACTGAGCGTTGCTGCCTTGGGTTCCCGGCCTTCACCTCCAGGTGCCACTACTGGGAGGCGGATGTGGGAGGTGGACTGGAGTGGGCAGTGGGCGTTGCTTCTCCACAGCTGCAAAGACAAGGTGATGCCTACATGTTCCACCCCCAGGCGCTGATTTGGTGCATCGCCCGATTTACGGAGACCTTTAAAGCTTTGGACACGCCGGAGAGTCCACTGGCCATGGTGGAGGGCACCTTGGAGAAGGTTGGAGTCTACCTCAATCTGTCAGGTCCAAGGGAGCTCACCTTCTATGACCCCCAAAGCTGGGATGTTCTCTATTCCTTCACCAATGTGGGTCGGGAAAGGGAAAGTGTCCTGCCGTTCTTCTGGCTTGGCAGAAATGGTGGCAGCATACAGTTACAAATGAACCAGTTGCCTATAAACATGGAGGCTGTCCAAGAATTTAACCATTCAGTCTTAAAGTAGAAGTTGAGGTCATCCTCTTGCCTGAAACCTTTCGCAACATTGACTGAATGAGGACATGCATAAAAAAATGGTCGCCACTCACCTCCTGTGTGTATGAAGAAACAGAGGCCAGTACTACATTCCTCCTCGCTATGAGGCTTTAAAGTGGGATACTGTTAAGCACACTTAGGAACTGGAACACAATTTTGTCCGTGTGTGGTCAGGAAGTTGATAGGCAGCAACTGCCAGACACTAGTTGGCTCCAAAAGTTGTCCTGAAAGTGACCAAAGCTTAAAAACATGCCTGTGCCTGCACACAGAATCGAAATTCGTACGAATTTTCCTGAAATTCGTAGATTCGGAAGCATACGAAATCCAAATGGCAGTTTCCGAATTATATCCGAAATACGAAATTCCGTTAACGAATTTCGGATCCGAATTTCTTTGAAACGGGAACTAATATTACCCCTGTAAATGAGGTTGAACAACATGACAAGATTTTTTTTTTTTACCCGAAATACGCATCCGCTGCTGCTGAGAGTTGCATTACAAATACAGGCAGGAAATACGAAATTCCGTTGACGTATTTTCGTTCCGTTACGAACTTTCGTTATATTGAAGTTAAAAAGCAAAGTACATTTATATTGGAGTTGATGGTAGTTTTTTTTTATCCGAAATACGAAATTTGGATCCGGAATCCGTTAACGGAATTCGTATTTCGGATAAAAAAACAACTACCACATCGACTCCAATATTAACAAAGGTATTTTTGCTTTTTAACTTCATCATAACGAATGTTCGTAAAGTTACGAAATAACGGATATTCTGAAACAAAACGGAACTAATTTTTTGACGGCGCACAAGTCTACTGTAGACCTGGAGGAGACAACTTCAGCACCCCAGCTTATGCCCAACTACAATTCCCACCATGCCTCTGCCTCTGGGAGTCATGCCTGTGGCCGTCAGAGTCTTGCAATGCCTCATGGGACTTGTAGTTCCACAACAGCTGGATGGCTGGTGTAGACAGACTGTAAGGAAGGGAGCGGAGCGTGGTCACATGTCACTGTGTAATGTTTTACAATAAGACGTTTTATATCTTTCTGATTTCGCCATTTACAACACCTGAGCCCTGAAGAAGGGGGGGGGAATCTTCCCTCCTCCGGGCCCTCTCCTTTTCTATCTCCAATATATTTTGCCTTTGCCCCTGCAGAGTACATCACATTCTCCCCTGAGACCGCCCACCCGGAGCTGTCCGTCACTGAGGACTCCCTAACCCTGGTGAACCAGCCTCCTCCTGACATGCCTATGCCGAGTAACGTCCGTTTCGAGACTGAGCGTTGCTGCCTTGGGTTCCCGGCCTTCACCTCCAGGTGCCACTACTGGGAGGCGGATGTGGGAGGTGGACTGGAGTGGGCAGTGGGCGTTGCTTCTCCACAGCTGCAAAGACAAGGTGATGCCTACATGTTCCACCCCCAGGCGCTGATTTGGTGCATCGCCCGATTTACGGAGACCTTTAAAGCTTTGGACACGCCGGAGAGTCCACTGGCCATGGTGGAGGGCACCTTGGAGAAGGTTGGAGTCTACCTCAATCTGTCAGGTCCAAGGGAGCTCACCTTCTATGACCCCCAAAGCTGGGATGTTCTCTATTCCTTCACCAATGTGGGTCGGGAAAGGGAAAGTGTCCTGCCGTTCTTCTGGCTTGGCAGAAATGGTGGCAGCATACAGTTACAAATGAACCAGTTGCCTATAAACATGGAGGCTGTCCAAGAATTTAACCATTCAGTCTTAAAGTAGAAGTTGAGGTCATCCTCTTGCCTGAAACCTTTCGCAACATTGACTGAATGAGGACATGCATAAAAAAATGGTCGCCACTCACCTCCTGTGTGTATGAAGAAACAGAGGCCAGTACTACATTCCTCCTCGCTATGAGGCTTTAAAGTGGGATACTGTTAAGCACACTTAGGAACTGGAACACAATTTTGTCCGTGTGTGGTCAGGAAGTTGATAGGCAGCAACTGCCAGACACTAGTTGGCTCCAAAAGTTGTCCTGAAAGTGACCAAAGCTTAAAAACATGCCTGTGCCTGCACACAGAATCGAAATTCGTACGAATTTTCCTGAAATTCGTAGATTCGGAAGCATACGAAATCCAAATGGCAGTTTCCGAATTATATCCGAAATACGAAATTCCGTTAACGAATTTCGGATCCGAATTTCTTTGAAACGGGAACTAATATTACCCCTGTAAATGAGGTTGAACAACATGACAAGATTTTTTTTTTTTACCCGAAATACGCATCCGCTGCTGCTGAGAGTTGCATTACAAATACAGGCAGGAAATACGAAATTCCGTTGACGTATTTTCGTTCCGTTACGAACTTTCGTTATATTGAAGTTAAAAAGCAAAGTACATTTATATTGGAGTTGATGGTAGTTTTTTTTTATCCGAAATACGAAATTTGGATCCGGAATCCGTTAACGGAATTCGTATTTCGGATAAAAAAACAACTACCACATCGACTCCAATATTAACAAAGGTATTTTTGCTTTTTAACTTCATCATAACGAATGTTCGTAAAGTTACGAAATAACGGATATTCTGAAACAAAACGGAACTAATTTTTTGACGGCGCACAAGTCTACTGTAGACCTGGAGGAGACAACTTCAGCACCCCAGCTTATGCCCAACTACAATTCCCACCATGCCTCTGCCTCTGGGAGTCATGCCTGTGGCCGTCAGAGTCTTGCAATGCCTCATGGGACTTGTAGTTCCACAACAGCTGGATGGCTGGTGTAGACAGACTGTAAGGAAGGGAGCGGAGCGTGGTCACATGTCACTGTGTAATGTTTTACAATAAGACGTTTTATATCTTTCTGATTTCGCCATTTACAACACCTGAGCCCTGAAGAAGGGGGGGGGGCGGGATTCTTCTGAGCCCCCGAAACGCGTTGGAAGGATTTGACCACGTTATAAACTAATACTAATATCAGAAGGATTTGGACTCTTGGATCTTTTGTTTGGCACTTTCTTTGGACTTTGTACATATTTTACAATACGACGTTTCTATTTTTCCCGTCACACAACATATCCAAAAATGATTAATAAAAACCTTTCCCTCTTCATGACGTTCCTTATTCTAGATACTGTCATGTCATCGCTGGGTCTCTGTGCTTCTCTATGCAATACAGGCTGGTGGGAGGAGCCAGCAGGGTGCTGTATATCGCTTCCTGAAAACATCACAGCACTCTACCTCAGTACTGCTCTAAAGAGCCCTCAGCCCCGATGTAAGCAGGGGGCTGGCTATTGGGAGGAGTTATGCAAATATCAAATTGCCTTGATGGGTGGAGTCAGTCTGCAGATGTGGGCAGTCCTAGAAAGGCTGTATTATCCTAGCTATTGTCCACATGTAAAGCTGAGAGTCTGTGATTGGAAGAACTAAAATCCATTGAAGGAAAGGGGCGGGGCCAGAGACAGTCAGGCTGGGGAGGAAAGAGCTGGATGATGCCAGGAAATGAGGCGGAGCTCTATCTGACTTGTTGCAGCTTCTAATGCACATTGTGAGAAGCACCCGGTGTGCAGTGACATCAGAGGAAGAGGGGAGGAGCCTGTACAACTGTGCAAGACTGAAGGGAAGGACGGAGGTCAGATAGAAGACTGGAGGGGAGGACGGAGGTCAGATAGAAGACTGAAGGGAAGGATGGAGGTCAGATAGAAGACTGAAGGGAAGGACGGAGGTCAGAGAGAAGACTGAAGGGGAGGACGGAGGTCAGATAGAAGACTGGAGGGGAGGACGGAGGTCAGATAGAAGACTGAAGGGAAGGATGGAGGTCAGATAGAAGACTGAAGGGAAGGACGGAGGTCAGAGAGAAGACTGAAGGGGAGGACGGAGGTCAGATAGAAGACTGGAGGGGAGGACGGAGGTCAGATAGAAGACTGAAGGGAAGGATGGAGGTCAGATAGAAGACTGAAGGGAAGGACGGAGGTCAGAGAGAAGACTGAAGGGGAGGACGGAGGTCAGATAGAAGACTGGAGGGGAGGACGGAGGTCAGATAGAAGACTGAAGGGAAGGATGGAGGTCAGATAGAAGACTGAAGGGAAGGACGGAGGTCAGAGAGAAGACTGAAGGGGAGGACGGAGGTCAGATAGAAGACTGGAGGGGAGGACGGAGGTCAGATAGAAGACTGAAGGGAAGGATGGAGGTCAGATAGAAGACTGAAGGGAAGGACGGAGGTCAGAGAGAAGACTGAAGGGGAGGACGGAGGTCAGATAGAAGACTGGAGGGGAGGACGGAGGTCAGATAGAAGACTGAAGGGAAGGATGGAGGTCAGATAGAAGACTGAAGGGAAGGACGGAGGTCAGAGAGAAGACTGAAGGGGAGGACGGAGGTCAGATAGAAGACTGGAGGGGAGGACGGAGGTCAGATAGAAGACTGAAGGGAAGGATGGAGGTCAGATAGAAGACTGAAGGGAAGGACGGAGGTCAGAGAGAAGACTGAAGGGGAGGACGGAGGTCAGATAGAAGACTGGAGGGGAGGACGGAGGTCAGATAGAAGACTGAAGGGAAGGATGGAGGTCAGATAGAAGACTGAAGGGAAGGACGGAGGTCAGAGAGAAGACTGAAGGGGAGGACGGAGGTCAGATAGAAGACTGGAGGGGAGGACGGAGGTCAGATAGAAGACTGAAGGGAAGGATGGAGGTCAGATAGAAGACTGAAGGGAAGGACGGAGGTCAGAGAGAAGACTGAAGGGGAGGACGGAGGTCAGATAGAAGACTGGAGGGGAGGACGGAGGTCAGATAGAAGACTGAAGGGAAGGATGGAGGTCAGATAGAAGACTGAAGGGAAGGACGGAGGTCAGAGAGAAGACTGAAGGGGAGGACGGAGGTCAGATAGAAGACTGGAGGGGAGGACGGAGGTCAGATAGAAGACTGAAGGGAAGGATGGAGGTCAGATAGAAGACTGAAGGGAAGGACGGAGGTCAGATAGAAGACTGGAGGGGAGGACGGAGGTCAGCTTCATCTATGAGATTCGGGTGCCCTGACCTGAGCCGGCTGGGAATTCGCCATTTTATAGGGTTCGTGTGTCACATGTCACGCTCGGCCCGCACACGTATGACGCAATGTATGAGGGTAAAGCCGCCGTGTGCAGTCTGGCTCGGTATGCGATCTGTAGCCGGGGACTCGTGTGCTCTCCGAGCGGCGTTGGCGGTTTATTCATCGGCCTAAATTTAGAGTCTCATCTAACAGCCCCCCCAGCAATGTTATGTCCTTCGGCGTCCTCACATTCAATTCACTGTATAGGACGTGATGACTCACTGGACCTTAGAACGCCGGATCGGAGGGGGAGACAGGCTGCAGGGAGCGGTCTGAGAGCCAGCCAGGATCGCGGTTCTGGTATAACTTTGTTATTTTAGCTGCCGGTGTGTTTTCCCTGACACAGTGCTGAGGCATCGATCCCGGAGTGCCCCCTTACACTGGCTGCCCCCAACGGAGTGCCCCTTATACTGGCTGCCCCCATCGGAGTGCCCCCTTACACTGGCTGCCCCCAACGGAGTGCCCCCTTACACTGGCTGCCCCCAACGGAGTGCCCC